CCTTAAAGGGGGAGGTTGGTTAGACTGGGGGTGGGGGTAGGGAGGGATATATTTTATTGCCTTCTTTATTTTACAAGCGACGTGCAACACAAACGGATCTGAATACATGCCATCGGCTGTGTGCTCTGTGATTCGTTTTCCTTTTACTTTTATCTATTCATATATCTATTACTATATTTGTAACTACATTGTTGGAAAAAAAAGGTATGACGCAACATCATAACCACATCACTGACTTTGCACCGTGCAATGATTCTCTGCCGAAATTCATACCTTTTCTGGCATCGCAACGGGCCGAGATATCTGGTGGGGGTGGGGGTATGGGGAAGGGGAAAGGAAGGGAAGGGGAAGGGAAGGGTGAGGGGCAAGGGAGGGAAGGAGGGGGGCGGGAGGAGGGAAGGGCAGAGGAGTTCCTACCTGGACGACAATCAACGTTTGGGTCGCCGGTCGTGCCCTCAGGACATATGCAGTAGGGCTGGTGCCTGTAGGGTTTGCACACGGAGCTCTGAGGGCAAGGGTTGGCGGCGAAGCAGGGGTTTTGACAGCGTGAATCCAAACACTTGTCAATTTTAAAACAGTCGATGTCTATCTCGCACTTACGGGCCGGGCGGGGGGCAGCTAAGGGGGTTCAGGGGGTGGTGTTAGGGTGTTAGGTTGAGGTGACAAGGGCGTTAATGGCGTGGCGATGCTGCTTGTGGGGCTCTTCTCAACCTCAAAGCATTCGATTCAGAAAAAATAACAAAATGTAAAAAAAAATAATAATAAAATAAAAAAACACAAAAAAAATAGAAATGTCTGTCACAAGTTTACTCTTTTAAGACGAGAGTTAGCCATCGATGAGGTTGAGAACAAAAGAGCATCGCCATGCGTCACCTTCGCGACTACTAACAACACATAAAGCATTTTTACGACGTTATTGCTGTTGGTTCATCGTGCGCTTGTGACATAACATGACGCACAAAAAAATATATTTACATCTCCACATGACAGAAACACACCAATTCCTGCTGAAACTGAGCATTTAAAAATAGAATAAACGCAAACCAACAACAATAACTTCGACAAACACATATCACACTAAAAAAAAAAGCTATGTTCATACGAAAACAAATCTAAGCTAGCGTTTGTGAGATGTTATAAAGCGAGGACACATAACTAACAACAAACAAGCAACAAACATGAAGCTGTGGCGAGTGGGTGAGCTTGTGACGTCATCATGCAGAGTGCTGCGGCTTTGTGAATTTCGTACATTTATATACATATACAAGTTATTTGTATAAAGCTCGACAACATAAACATATGTATGGCCGTTAGTCTTGGAATTACGAAATTACTAGACTGATTTTTACTTTGTTAGTGCAACTAAAAACTGATTATCACTGTGACTAAATAATCCTTTGGGTTAGGCTATTAATAAGTATTAAATGAATGTCTTCTGTCAGCACTAGACAGACAGATAGACAGACAAACATTCAGTCAGCAGGCGGAAAGTGTACAGGTATCGGGTACTCACTCAGGAAACAGTTGACGTTCGGGTTGCCTGTGTATCCGGGCGGGCACGAACACTGAGGGCGGCGGTTCAAGACCTGGGGGGAGGAGGGCGGGGGGTGTGACAAGTGCCGAGAGGAAGGAGACGAGAGGAAGACGAAGGGGAGAAGGGGAGGGGGAAGGAGAGTGGGCAGGGGAAGGGGAGAGGGAGAATGGGAGGCAGAGGGAGAAAGGGAGGGGGTGAGGGGAGAGGGAGAAGGGAGGGAGAAAGAGGGGAAGTGAGATTGGGAGAGAGAGGGAGAGGGAGATTGGGAGAGAGAGAGGGAGAGGGAGATGAGGAGTAAGAAGAAAAAGAAGAATGAGAGGAAGTGAGAGTATGTAAGGATGTTTCAGAGGAGGAGGAGAGAGAGATAGAGAGAGAGAGAAGGGAGGGGGGAGAATTGAAGAAAGCAATGCAACAAAAAAAACGAAAGAACAAAAGAAAAACCTAAAAAAATCATACGAATGTTCAGCATTTATCTCATCCTTATAGATAAAAAAAAAACGCGAATGAAAAAAAAAAAACATTAGCACCAACCTGGCACTCAGCATTGGGCGCGCACGGGTTGAGGATGGCACAGGGGTCGAGGCACTGTCGGTTGCGGCACACCTCCGTCGGGCCACACTCGTCGTCGGCAGCACAGCCTGGCGGTTCTGTCGGGCCTAGCGTGGTAAAGCGATCGCTTGTTATCGTGAGAATAACCATGTGGTGTGTAGTTATAATATGTTCGCTACGACTGATGTGATTAAAAATGTAGGCCATTATTATTCAAATTATTATTATTATTTATCCTTAAAAAGAAAAAGAAAAAGAAAAAGAAAAAGAAAAAGAAAAAGAAAAAGAAAAAGAAATAATGAGCTGTGGCGAGTGGGTGAGCTTGTGACGTCATCATGCAGAGTGCTGCGGCTTTGTGAATTTCGTACATTTATATACATATACAAGTTATTTGTATAAAGCTTGACAACATAAACATATGTATGGCCGTTAGTCTTGGAATTACGAAATTACTAGACTGATTTTTACTTTGTTAGTGCAACTAAAAACTGATTATCACTGTGACTAAATAATCCTTTGGGTTAGGCTATTAATAAGTATTAAATGAATGTCTTCTGTCAGCACTAGACAGACAGATAGACAGACAAACATTCAGTCAGCAGGCGGAAAGTGTACAGGTATCGGGTACTCACTCAGGAAACAGTTGACGTTCGGGTTGCCTGTGTATCCGGGCGGGCACGAACACTGAGGGCGGCGGTTCAGACCTGGGGGGAGGAGGGCGGGGGGTGTGACAAGTGCCGAGAGGAAGGAGACGAGAGGAAGACGAAGGGGAGAAGGGGAGGGGGAAGGAGAGTGGGCAGGGGAAGGGGAGAGGGAGAATGGGAGGCAGAGGGAGAAAGGGAGGGGGTGAGGGGAGAGGGAGAAGGGAGGGAGAAAGAGGGGAAGTGAGATTGGGAGAGAGAGGGAGAGGGAGATTGGGAGAGAGAGAGGGAGAGGGAGATGAGGAGTAAGAAGAAAAAGAAGAATGAGAGGAAGTGAGAGTATGTAAGGATGTTTCAGAGGAGGAGGAGAGAGAGATAGAGAGAGAGAGAAGGGAGGGGGGAGAATTGAAGAAAGCAATGCAACAAAAAAAAACGAAAGAACAAAAGAAAAACCTAAAAAAATCATACGAATGTTCAGCATTTATCTCATCCTTATAGATAAAAAAAAAACGCGAATGAAAAAAAAAAAACATTAGCACCAACCTGGCACTCAGCATTGGGCGCGCACGGGTTGAGGATGGCACAGGGGTCGAGGCACTGTCGGTTGCGGCACACCTCCGTCGGGCCACACTCGTCGTCGGCAGCACAGCCTGGCGGTTCTGTCGGGCCTAGCGTGGTAAAGCGATCGCTTGTTATCGTGAGAATAACCATGTGGTGTGTAGTTATAATATGTTCGCTACGACTGATGTGATTAAAAATGTAGGCCATTATTATTCAAATTATTATTATTATTATTTATCCTTAAAAAGAAAAAGAAAAAGAAAAAATCTAAATACATTATAAGAATTGAAAAAAAAAAAAAAAAAAATCTAATTGGGAAAAATCCTCTGACATTAGTTTAAATATTCGGATGATGTGTGTTCGGTTCTGCTGGTTGTTATTTTTTCGAGTAATAAATATATTAAGAAATCGTAATTCTATAAACTGAAAAGGATGGAGTAGGATGGAATACACCGAAGTTTTTTTTTTTCTGAAACGATACAGAATTATGTTGGTTAATAAGACATGACAATTATAAAGTGTAGTATCAAAGAAACATGTAATATCCTCATGTTTCTGTTAATTATTCCAACCCTGAATGATATGGATGTTATATAACGGCAATTGTATAATAAAAGACAATTAATCTTTTTTTCTGACTGACTTTTAGACATTAACATTCAGGGTTAGAAAGCCTTCTCCCAATACAATTCTGATTGTGAAACCGGGTTAGTAAAGTTACCTGCTAACGACGAAAGTAAATGAATTAATAAACACGTAAATCAAATCAAGAAAATGACAATAATCTGGATTACAGCACTGACAAAGGGAAGGAGAAATGTTAGTCAGGTAGCAAGACAGCTGACCAGCCACAGCCAGTGTTTCCCTTACGTAGTGAGCACTCGACGTAGGCATTTCCGACGAAGCCCGGGAGGCACTCGCACGTCATGGTCCTGTATGGCAGGGTGTCGATGACCTCGCACTTGGCATTGACCCCGCATGGCTTGACGACGAGGCAGGGGTCATCGCAGCGGCCGTCGAAGCATGCCATCTTGCTCGGGCAGTCACCGTCGGTCTGGCACTCCTTGAAGGACGGTTCACCCACGGGTCCTTGGGGGGAGTGAAGAATTGTGGAGGATCAGGGAGAAAGTCAGAGGCTCGGCAGCTACTTTCAGTGTCCAAACCAAATTTACAATACGCACACAATCTCATCAATAGACACAACAAGAAATTATTTGAAGCGAAGCGAAATAACGGAGAAATCAATCTCTGGCAATCAAAGTACGCCGGCAAGATACTCACTCAGCGTGCACTCAACGAAGCCGTCGCCCTCATAGCCTGGTCGACACAAGCACTGAGGACGATGGTTGACAACGCGGCAGTCAGCGTTGGGGCCACAGTTGCACGGATCTTCGCACTCCTGGTCGATGCAGGCGAGCCATGATGGGCACTCCTCGTCGACCACGCAGTCAGGGCGCTCACACCGCACGTAAGGGTCGCCCTATAATGCACTGGCTCGTTATATTCTACCGACGCTTAGTGACCCTTGCTCATCAAGAGTAAAGAGGTCATAGGATTAAGCTGGTGCTTGATATGCGCACCATGATATTAGAATTGGTGCTAAATTAAGAGAAAACGATAGAAATAAGGCGCAAATCAAATTCGTCAAAATGCAAATCCTATCTCACAGAACACTGCATGTGGTATTCCAGCCTCACCAGGAAACTGTCCGGACAATAGCACTGAGCGCGATGGTTGACGACACGGCACTCAGCGTTGATGCCGCAGTCTTCGAAGGTACAAGGGTCCTCACACTCCTGGTTGATGCATGCCTGTTGCACTGGGCAGTCCGAGTTGGCACGGCACCCGGCTGCGGTTTTGGTGGGCGAGGGGGAAGAAAATAGGGGAAAATTAACAAATGATTTACGTTTACAAGTCGGCAGGGCAAGGGAAGGCTCTCGTTAAGGTCGCTGGATGGGTTATTTACGGTTAGTTGCTAATGACTTTTTTTTTTCTTTTTTTTTATCGAGATATTAGGGTTTGCGTTTACCAAAAAGCCTGAAACAGACTATGGTCGTGGAGTACTACAGGGACTGTTAAACTAGTAAAGATCCGGTAAATTTAGATATTTACAGAAAACATCAAAATATTGATTTAAGGTTAACAATGAACTGGTATCTACATATAAATAAGAAAATGACTTATATATTGCATACTGATATATCGTGGCAAGATACTACTATATATCTACTTATGATAGATATGAATAAAAATCAGCATACATACGAAAAGCTTAGTACTTAAAAAAAAAATGAAAGGAAAGCATATAAATGAAAATCAAACTACAGAATAGCAGAGTACGAGGCACTACACCACTTACAAAGGAAGGAGTGAAAATAAACAAAAGTAACATACTAACAAAAAGATAGAAGACACTTATATCTACGATTTAACAACATCTTACCGACAAGACACTGAATGTTAGGATTCCCGACAAAGCCGTCTGGGCAAGAGCACACAGGGCGATGCCGGGTCACGTGACATTCAGCATTGGGGGCACAGTTATCGTAGATGGCACAGGGGTTCTTGCACTGCTGTGCCACGCAGGCGAGAGCATCACTACATTCCTCATCCACCCTGCACTCAGGGCTTGGGGTTGTGAGCTCAACTGTGATGAAGGCAAAGGCATTAGAATTTGCACACACATGTATCTGTTTTTATAAGGGAAGTAAATATCAACAGAAAATTGGGATTCTTCATTTGTTGAACGGGAAGTCTATCTATATACACAAATTTACACATATTGGAAATAAGCATAGAAATAGTTTATGATGCATAACAGTTTAGATGCAGTTTATACGTGCTTTGACTTTGCAGTATGTACGATGCATTTTCATTCATGATGCAGGACTGAACGATGCAAACTTAAAATGCATAAGCACATTCTAAATGAAACATTGACAGGCACAAGAGAAACATGCATCGTGCTCTGACATGCGTGAACCAGAAATAGAGAAATATACAAGATAAGAAGCCACTAGACATTCTTACTCATGGTGCACTGGAGGTAGGGGTCTCCCGTTAATCCCGAAGGACAAGAACACACTGGGCGGTGCCTTGTGACATCACAGAGAGCCGTAGGGGCACACGGGTTAGCTACCAGACAAGGGTTCTGGCAGTTCCCGCTGAAGCATGCTTGGTGATCTAGGCAATCTTCATTCACAGTACACTGAAGCTCGATGATAGGTGGAGCAGGGGTTGGGGCAGGGGTGGTGGGGGGCGAACACTGGACATAAGGGTTGCCAGTGTATCCAGGGCTGCAGATGCACATTGGTGTGTGCACTGTGACAAGGCACTCTGCATTAAAGCCACAGACATCTCGATACAGGCATGGATTTTTACATTCTTGATTAAGACATGCCTGATGATAGGCACAATCTCCATCGACAATACAATCTGGACGAGAGGTTGTGAGTGGTATGGCTGGTGGTGGTGTGGGTTGCTCAGGTCTGCGACAGGAGATGAAGGGGTTTCCAACATAGCCTGGCGGGCAGTTGCAGCGGGGACGATGGTTTTCTGCAGTGCACACTGCCATCGGGGCACATGGGTTGCTTGTGAGACAAACATCACGACACACATTGCTAATACAGACCTGTGTTGTGAAGCAGTCAGGATCAATGATACACTGTGGCCGTGCAGTGATAGGGGCAATAGGTGTACAGACAGCCTCGTGCAGCTGTACAAAACATTCTGAATTTGTATCACATGGCATAAGGCTGCACACTTTGACACAGAGAAGGTTCACACATTTCTCATCAAAGGCACATTCACCACTTGCAGCACATCCAACAGGTAGGGGGGCTTCAGTTGATGGTAGTGCAGGGGGAAGCGGTAGTGGATCCTTTGCAATGGGGGGCTGCGTCTCTGATAGAGGTAGAGGCGTTGTTGATGTAATTGCAACAGGCCTCACAGGCTGTTGGGGTGGTTCAACCGTTTCGGTAACAGGAGGTGCTATTGTAGATGGTATCTCTGTGAGCACGGCAGTGCAACGAGTCTGTGGATCTCCTGTAGTTCCAGGTGGACACACGCACACAGGCCTATGATTCAGAGTCTTGCAGTCTGCACTGTCTCCACATATGCCAAGGCTACAGACATCATAACACAACAAATTAATGCAGGAGTTGTCTATATCACAATCATCATTATTCTCACAGGCAATCTGTATAGGTGGCACTATTGGTGTGGGAGGAGGTGTAGGTAATGGTTCCACTGGATGACTTGGTGTTACTTCAGTTTCTGGTGGAAGAGTTGTGGAAGGAGGAGGAGAAACTGGTATAATGGGAGAATCTGGAGGTGGTGTCTGCACTTCACCAACAGGTGATGGCGGTTCAACAGGATCTAATGCTGCTATTGCAGAACACTTAAGTGTAGGATTTCCTGTTGTTCCTGGTGGACATGCACAAACTGGCCGGTGACCCTTCGTTTGGCAGTCTGCATTTTCACCACAAAGACCAGGGTGACATATATCCAAACAAAGTTTGTTGACACAAGAATTATCATATGGACACTCATCAATGCTCTCACATCCTACTGGTACTGGTGGAGGTGTAGGTGGAAGTGGAGGACGGCTAGTTGTTGGTTCTGTTGGTCTTCTTGGAGGTTCCTCCCCTATAGGTGCGTGAGTTGTAGATGGTGGAGGAGATACAGGATGGATTGGGCTGTCAGGTGGTGGAGAAACAGTTTCCTTGATAGGTGTCTGTATGGTTGTCTGCTCTGACAAGAGTGCGTGACAGCCAATTGTAGGATTTCCTGTTGTGCCTGGGGGACAATTACACACAGGCCGATGCTTATGGATCTTGCAATCAGCATCTTCCCCACAGATACCAATGGCACAAGCATCATAGCAGATATGATTCAAACATGAGTTATCCATTGGGCATTCATCATTGTTGGTACAAGCTATAACAACTGGAGGAAGTATGGGTGTTGCTGGAGGACGAGGTGTTGTTGGCTCAGGAGGTCGTGTTGTTGGTTCCTCTACAAGAGGAGGAGGCATTGGAGATGACTGTCCTACTCCAGGTACAATTGGCTCATCAGGTCTTGGGGACGTGCTTGCTGCTATAGGAGGTGGAAGGGTGTCTGGACTTTCAGCTGCAATTGCAGTGCACTGGATAGTTGGGTTACCAGTTGTACCAGGAGGACATATACATGCTGGCCTATGCCCATGTGTTTGACAGTCAGCTTATCACCACAAACTAGTTGTGGTTCTGTGTATTCTTGGAGGTTCCTCCCCTATAGGTGCGTGAGTTGTAGATGGTGGAGGAGATACAGGATGGGATTGGGCTGTCAGGTGGTTGGAGAGAAACAGTTTCCTTGATAGGTGTCTGTATGGTTGTCTGCTCTGACAAAGAGTGCGTGACAGCCAATTGTAGGATTTCCTGTTGTGGCCTGGGGGACCAATATACACACAGGCCGATGCTTATGGATCTTGCAATCAGCATCTTCCCCACAGATACCAATGGCACAAGCATCATAGCAGATATGATTCAAACATGAGTTATCCATTGGGCATTCATCATTGTTGGTACAGAGCTATAACAACTGGAGGAAGTATGGGTGTTGCTGGAGGACGAGGTGTTGTTGGCTCAGGAGGGTCGTGTTGTTGGTTCCTCTACAAGAGGAGGAGGCATTGGAGATGACTGTCCTACTCGAGGTACAATTGGCTCATCAGGTCTTGGGGACGTGCTTGCTGCTATAGGAGGTGGAAGGGTGTCTGGACTTTCAGCTGCAATTGCAGTGCACTGGATAGTTGGGTTACCAGTTGTACCAGGAGGACATATACATGCTGGCCTATGCCCATGTGTTTGACAGTCAGCATTATCACCACAAAGTCCAGGGAAACATACATTAAAGCACAATCTGTTTACACAAGTATTGTCATATGGACATTCATCATTACTCTGACACCCAACTGGAATTGGTGGAGGAGTAGGAACTGGTGGAGGCTGAATTAATGGAGGCTCAGAAGGTCTTGGCGGCCGTTCAGAGATAAGAGGAGGAGGAGTAACAGAAGATGGACCTGCCACAGGTCTGATTGGTTGTTCCACAGGAGGCGAAACACTTTCTGTTATTGGTATAGGGGGTGTAGGCTTGTGAATGGAAAGAGCCTGACACTGGATCTGTGGATCACCAGTTGTTCCAGGAGGACATATACAAACAGGTCTGTGATTACTTGTCTTACAGTCTGCATCTTCGCCACATATTCCTAGACTGCAAGCATCATAGCAAAGCCTATTCAAACAAGAATTATCCACATCACAGTCATCATTATTTTCACAAGCAATAGGCACAGCAGGGACAATCGGTAGTGGTGGAGGTCGTGGAGGTAGAGGTTCAGGTGTAGGACGGGGTGATTCTTCTGCCAGAGGGGGAGGTCCTGTGGTTGTAGAACCTGCAATGGGAATAATCGGAGAGTCTGGTTTTGGCTCTTTTCCTGCTTCTGGTGGATATGGTTTTGGTGGCATTTCGAAAGCTACTGCTGAACATTTGATGGTTGGGTTTCCAGTGGTTCCTGGTGGACATTTACATACTGGACGGTTTCCTTGAGTCTGGCAATCTGCACTTTCTCCACATAGGCCTGGATAACAAACATCAAAGCAGAGTCTGTTAACACATGAATTATCAGATGGACAGTCATCAGAAGTTTCACAACCTACAGGTATGGGACCAGGTGTGGGTGGTGGAGGAGGTGCAGTCACTGGAGGCAGTGTTGGTCTTGGCGTAGGAAGTTCAGCCAAAGGAGGCAGTCCAGGACTTGTTGGTTCAGCTATGGGTCTAATTGGATCACCTGGCTGTGTTGAACTTATTTCTGGAATGGGTGAAGGTGGTACCAATGGCCTTTCTGTGAGCATTGCCTGACATCCATAGGAAGGATCTCCTGTGGTTCCTGGAGGACAACTGCAAACTGGACGATGATTATGAACCTTACAGTCTGCATCTTCGCCACATATTCCTAGACTGCAAGCATCATAGCAAAGCCTATTCAAACAAGAATTATCCACATCACAGTCATCATTATTTTCACAAGCAATAGGCACAGCAGGGACAATCGGTAGTGGTGGAGGTCGTGGAGGTAGAGGTTCAGGTGTAGGACGGGGTGATTCTTCTGCCAGAGGGGGAGGTCCTGTGGTTGTAGAACCTGCAATGGGAATAATCGGAGAGTCTGGTTTTGGCTCTTTTCCTGCTTCTGGTGGATATGGTTTTGGTGGCATTTCGAAAGCTACTGCTGAACATTTGATGGTTGGGTTTCCAGTGGTTCCTGGTGGACATTTACATACTGGACGGTTTCCTTGAGTCTGGCAATCTGCACTTTCTCCACATAGGCCTGGATAACAAACATCAAAGCAGAGTCTGTTAACACATGAATTATCAGATGGACAGTCATCAGAAGTTTCACAACCTACAGGTATGGGACCAGGTGTGGGTGGTGGAGGAGGTGCAGTCACTGGAGGCAGTGTTGGTCTTGGCGTAGGAAGTTCAGCCAAAGGAGGCAGTCCAGGACTTGTTGGTTCAGCTATGGGTCTAATTGGATCACCTGGCTGTGTTGAACTTATTTCTGGAATGGGTGAAGGTGGTACCAATGGCCTTTCTGTGAGCATTGCCTGACATCCATAGGAAGGATCTCCTGTGGTTCCTGGAGGACAACTGCAAACTGGACGATGATTATGAACCTTACAGTCTGCATCATCTCCACATACTCCAAGACTGCATACATCATAGCAAAGGTTGTTGATGCATGAGTTATCCATTGTGCAGTCATCATTGTTTGTACAAGCAATTACGAAAGGTGGAACAACTGGAGGTTGAGGAGGTCTGGGAGTTGTTGGCAATGGAGGTCTTGGTGTTGGTGTTTCAGTTAGAGGTGGTGGTATTGGTGTTGACGGTCCAATTCCTGGTACAATCTGATCATCTGGAGTTACTCCTGGCGCGCCTGTTATAGGAGACAGAGTTGTAGGTCTGTCAGTAGCAACTGCCTTGCAGCTTTCTGTAGGGTTGCCTGTAGTGCCAGGCGGGCACAAGCATAGAGGTCTATGGCCAATGGTCTGGCAATCAGCACTGTCACCACACAGACCAGGATGACATACATCCAGACAAAGACGGTTAATGCAACTGTTATCATATGGACAATCATCAGTGCTTTCACAGCCTACTGGATTAGGTGGAGGTGTTGGAATTGCTGGAGGTCGAGGAATTGGAGTTTCAGGTGGTCGTGTAGTTGGTAGTTCAGCAATAGGGGATGGTGGGGTAGACGATGAACCTGGCACTGCATGGATTGGTATGTCACTGACAACTGGTAATTCTGTTATTGGAATAACTGTAGTAGGTCTATCGGTGGAAATTGCTTTGCATCCTACTTGAGGATCACCAGATGTTCCATGAGGACAAAGGCAGACTGGTCTGTGATTGACAGTTGTACATTCAGCATCATCTCCACAAATTCCAAGGCTGCAAGCATCATAACACAGTTTGTTTAGGCAGGAGTTGTCCATGTCACAGTCATCATTATTTTCACATGCAATGGGTATTGCTGGAACAATGGGAGCTGGTGGAGGCCGTGGAGGTAGAGGTTCAGGTGGAGGACGAGGTGATTCTTCTGCCAGAGGTGGGAGTCCTGTGGTTGTAGGACCTGCAATGGGACTGATTGGAGAGTCTGGTTGTAAAGGCTTTTCTCCTACTTGTGGTGGATGCGGTTTTGGTGGCATTTCGAAGGCCATTGCAGAACACTTGATAGTTGGGTTTCCAGTGGTTCCTGGTGGACATGTACACAAAGGTCGATTTCCTTGAGTCTGGCAATCTGCACTTTCTCCACATAGGCCTGGATAACAAACATCAAAGCAGAGTCTGTTAACACATGAATTATCAGATGGACAGTCATCAGAAGTTTCACAACCTACAGGTATGGGACCAGGTGTGGGTGGTGGAGGAGGTGCAGTCACTGGAGGCAGTGTTGGTCTTGGCGTAGGAAGTTCAGCCAAAGGAGGCAGTCCAGGACTTGTTGGTTCAGCTATGGGTCTAATTGGATCACCTGGCTGTGTTGAACTTATTTCTGGAATGGGTGAAGGTGGTACCAATGGCCTTTCTGTAAGCATTGCCTGACATCCATAGGAAGGATCTCCTGTGGTTCCTGGAGGACAACTACAGACTGGACGGTGATTATGAATCTTACAGTCTGCATCATCTCCACATACTCCAAGACTACATACATCATAGCAAAGGTTGTTGATGCATGAGTTATCCATTGTGCAGTCATCATTGTTTGTACAAGCAATTACGAAAGGTGGAACAACTGGAGGTTGAGGAGGTCTGGGAGTTGTTGGCAATGGAGGTCTTGGTGTTGGTGTTTCAGTTAGAGGTGGTGGTACTGGTGTTGACGGTCCAATTCCTGGTACAATCTGATCATCTGGAGTTACTCCTGGCGCGCCTGTTATAGGAGACAGAGTTGTAGGTCTGTCAGTAGCAACTGCCTTACAGCTTTCTGTAGGGTTGCCTGTAGTGCCAGGCGGGCACAAGCATAGAGGTCTATGGCCAATGGTCTGGCAATCAGCACTGTCACCACACAGACCAGGATGACATACATCCAGACAAAGACGGTTAATGCAACTGTTATCATATGGACAATCATCAGTGCTTTCACAGCCTACTGGATTGGGTGGAGGTGTTGGAATTGCTGGAGGTCGAGGAATTGGAGTTTCAGGTGGTCGTGTAGTTGGTAGTTCAGCAATAGGGGATGGTGGGGTAGACGATGAACCTGGCACTGCATGGATTGGTATGTCACTGACAACTGGTAATTCTGTTATTGGAATAACTGTAGTAGGTCTATCGGTGGAAATTGCTTTGCATCCTACTTGAGGATCACCAGATGTTCCATGAGGACAAAGGCAGACTGGTCTGTGATTGACAGTTGTACATTCAGCATCATCTCCACAAATTCCAAGGCTGCAAGCATCATAACACAGTTTGTTTAGGCAGGAGTTGTCCATGTCACAGTCATCATTATTTTCACATGCAATGGGTATTGCTGGAACAATGGGAACTGGTGGAGGTCGTGGAGGTAGAGGTTCAGGTGGAGGACGAGGTGATTCTTCTGCCAGAGGTGGGAGTCCTGTGGTTGTAGGACCTGCAATGGGACTGATTGGAGAGTCTGGTTGTAAAGGCTTTTCTCCTACTTGTGGTGGATGCGGTTTTGGTGGCATTTCGAAAGGCTACTGCTGAACATTTGATGGTTGGGTTTCCAGTGGTTCCTGTGGACATTACATACGGGACGATTTCCTTGAGTCTGGCAATCTGCACTTTCTCCACATAGGCCTGGATAACAAACATCAAAGCAGAGTCTGTTAACACATGAAATTATCAGATGGACAGTCATCAGAAGTTTCACACCTACAGGTATGGGACCAGGTGTGGGTGGTGGAGGAGGTGCAGTCACTGGAGGCAGTGTTGGTCTTGGCGTAGGAAGTTCAGCCAAAGGAGGCAGTCCAGGACTTGTTGGTTCAGCTATGGGTCTAATTGGATCACCTGGCTGTGTTGAACTTATTTCTGGAATGGGTGAGGTGGTACCAATGGCCTTTCTGTGAGCATTGCCTGACATCCATAGGAAGGATCTCCTGTGGTCTGGAGTAGGACTGCAAGCATCATAGCAAAGCCTATTCAAACAAGAATTATCCACATCACAGTCATCATTATTTTCACAAGCAATAGGCACAGCAGGGACAATCGGTAGTGGTGGAGGTCGTGGAGGTAGAGGTTCAGGTGTAGGACGGGGTGATTCTTCTGCCAGAGGGGGAGGTCCTGTGGTTGTAGAACCTGCAATGGGAATAATCGGAGAGTCTGGTTTTGGCTCTTTTCCTGCTTCTGGTGGATATGGTTTTGGTGGCATTTCGAAAGCTACTGCTGAACATTTGATGGTTGGGTTTCCAGTGGTTCCTGGTGGACATTTACATACTGGACGGTTTCCTTGAGTCTGGCAATCTGCACTTTCTCCACATAGGCCTGGATAACAAACATCAAAGCAGAGTCTGTTAACACATGAATTATCAGATGGACAGTCATCAGAAGTTTCACAACCTACAGGTATGGGACCAGGTGTGGGTGGTGGAGGAGGTGCAGTCACTGGAGGCAGTGTTGGTCTTGGCGTAGGAAGTTCAGCCAAAGGAGGCAGTCCAGGACTTGTTGGTTCAGCTATGGGTCTAATTGGATCACCTGGCTGTGTTGAACTTATTTCTGGAATGGGTGAAGGTGGTACCAATGGCCTTTCTGTGAGCATTGCCTGACATCCATAGGAAGGATCTCCTGTGGTTCCTGGAGGACAACTGCAAACTGGACGATGATTATGAACCTTACAGTCTGCATCATCTCCACATACTCCAAGACTGCATACATCATAGCAAAGGTTGTTGATGCATGAGTTATCCATTGTGCAGTCATCATTGTTTGTACAAGCAATTACGAAAGGTGGAACAACTGGAGGTTGAGGAGGTCTGGGAGTTGTTGGCAATGGAGGTCTTGGTGTTGGTGTTTCAGTTAGAGGTGGTGGTATTGGTGTTGACGGTCCAATTCCTGGTACAATCTGATCATCTGGAGTTACTCCTGGCGCGCCTGTTATAGGAGACAGAGTTGTAGGTCTGTCAGTAGCAACTGCCTTGCAGCTTTCTGTAGGGTTGCCTGTAGTGCCAGGCGGGCACAAGCATAGAGGTCTATGGCCAATGGTCTGGCAATCAGCACTGTCACCACACAGACCAGGATGACATACATCCAGACAAAGACGGTTAATGCAACTGTTATCATATGGACAATCATCAGTGCTTTCACAGCCTACTGGATTAGGTGGAGGTGTTGGAATTGCTGGAGGTCGAGGAATTGGAGTTTCAGGTGGTCGTGTAGTTGGTAGTTCAGCAATAGGGGATGGTGGGGTAGACGATGAACCTGGCACTGCATGGATTGGTATGTCACTGACAACTGGTAATTCTGTTATTGGAATAACTGTAGTAGGTCTATCGGTGGAAATTGCTTTGCATCCTACTTGAGGATCACCAGATGTTCCATGAGGACAAAGGCAGACTGGTCTGTGATTGACAGTTGTACATTCAGCATCATCTCCACAAATTCCAAGGCTGCAAGCATCATAACACAGTTTGTTTAGGCAGGAGTTGTCCATGTCACAGTCATCATTATTTTCACATGCAATGGGTATTGCTGGAACAATGGGAGCTGGTGGAGGCCGTGGAGGTAGAGGTTCAGGTGGAGGACGAGGTGATTCTTCTGCCAGAGGTGGGAGTCCTGTGGTTGTAGGACCTGCAATGGGACTGATTGGAGAGTCTGGTTGTAAAGGCTTTTCTCCTACTTGTGGTGGATGCGGTTTTGGTGGCATTTCGAAGGCCATTGCAGAACACTTGATAGTTGGGTTTCCAGTGGTTCCTGGTGGACATGTACACAAAGGTCGATTTCCTTGAGTCTGGCAATCTGCACTTTCTCCACATAGGCCTGGATAACAAACATCAAAGCAGAGTCTGTTAACACATGAATTATCAGATGGACAGTCATCAGAAGTTTCACAACCTACAGGTATGGGACCAGGTGTGGGTGGTGGAGGAGGTGCAGTCACTGGAGGCAGTGTTGGTCTTGGCGTAGGAAGTTCAGCCAAAGGAGGCAGTCCAGGACTTGTTGGTTCAGCTATGGGTCTAATTGGATCACCTGGCTGTGTTGAACTTATTTCTGGAATGGGTGAAGGTGGTACCAATGGCCTTTCTGTAAGCATTGCCTGACATCCATAGGAAGGATCTCCTGTGGTTCCTGGAGGACAACTACAGACTGGACGGTGATTATGAATCTTACAGTCTGCATCATCTCCACATACTCCAAGACTACATACATCATAGCAAAGGTTGTTGATGCATGAGTTATCCATTGTGCAGTCATCATTGTTTGTACAAGCAATTACGAAAGGTGGAACAACTGGAGGTTGAGGAGGTCTGGGAGTTGTTGGCAATGGAGGTCTTGGTGTTGGTGTTTCAGTTAGAGGTGGTGGTACTGGTGTTGACGGTCCAATTCCTGGTACAATCTGATCATCTGGAGTTACTCCTGGCGCGCCTGTTATAGGAGACAGAGTTGTAGGTCTGTCAGTAGCAACTGCCTTACAGCTTTCTGTAGGGTTGCCTGTAGTGCCAGGCGGGCACAAGCATAGAGGTCTATGGCCAATGGTCTGGCAATCAGCACTGTCACCACACAGACCAGGATGACATACATCCAGACAAAGACGGTTAATGCAACTGTTATCATATGGACAATCATCAGTGCTTTCACAGCCTACTGGATTGGGTGGAGGTGTTGGAATTGCTGGAGGTCGAGGAATTGGAGTTTCAGGTGGTCGTGTAGTTGGTAGTTCAGCAATAGGGGATGGTGGGGTAGACGATGAACCTGGCACTGCATGGATTGGTATGTCACTGACAACTGGTAATTCTGTTATTGGAATAACTGTAGTAGGTCTATCGGTGGAAATTGCTTTGCATCCTACTTGAGGATCACCAGATGTTCCATGAGGACAAAGGCAGACTGGTCTGTGATTGACAGTTGTACATTCAGCATCATCTCCACAAATTCCAAGGCTGCAAGCATCATAACACAGTTTGTTTAGGCAGGAGTTGTCCATGTCACAGTCATCATTATTTTCACATGCAATGGGTATTGCTGGAACAATGGGAACTGGTGGAGGTCGTGGAGGTAGAGGTTCAGGTGGAGGACGAGGTGATTCTTCTGCCAGAGGTGGGAGTCCTGTGGTTGTAGGACCTGCAATGGGACTGATTGGAGAGTCTGGTTGTAAAGGCTTTTCTCCTACTTGTGGTGGATGCGGTTTTGGTGGCATTTCGAAGGCCATTGCAGAACACTTGATAGTTGGGTTTCCTGTGGTTCCTGGTGGACACTTGCATACTGGACGATTTCCTTGAGTCTGGCAATCTGCACTTTCTCCACATAGGCCTGGATAACAAACATCAAAGCAGAATCTGTTAACACATGAATTATCAGATGGACAGTCATCAGAAGTTTCACAACCTACAGGTATGGGACCAGGTGTGGGTGGTGGAGGAGGTGCAGTCACTGGAGGCAGTGTTGGTCTTGGCGTAGGAAGTTCAGCCAAAGGAGGCAGTCCAGGACTTGTTGGTTCAGCTATGGGTCTAATTGGATCACCTGGCTGTGTTGAACTTATTTCTGGAATGGGTGAAGGTGGTACCAATGGCCTTTCTGTAAGCATTGCCTGACATCCATAGGAAGGATCTCCTGTGGTTCCTGGAGGACAACTACAGACTGGACGGTGATTATGAATCTTACAGTCTGCATCATCTCCACATACTCCAAGACTACATACATCATAGCAAAGGTTGTTGATGCATGAGTTATCCATTGTGCAGTCATCATTGTTTGTACAAGCAATTACGAAAGGTGGAACAACTGGAGGTTGAGGAGGTCTGGGAGTTGTTGGCAATGGAGGTCTTGTTGTTGGTGTTTCAGTTAGAGGTGGTGGTATTGGTGTTGATGGTCCAATTCCTGGTACAATCTGATCATCTGGAGTTACTCCTGGCGCGCCTGTTATAGGAGACAGAGTTGTAGGTCTGTCGGTAGCAACTGCCTTGCAGCTTTCTGTAGGGTTGCCTGTAGTGCCAGGCGGGCACAAGCATAGAGGTCTATGGCCAATGGTCTGGCAATCAGCATTGTCACCACACAGACCAGGATGACATACATCCAGACAAAGACGGTTAATGCAACTGTTATCATATGGACAATCATCAGTGCTTTCACAGCCTACTGGATTGGGTGGAGGTGTTGGAATTGCTGGAGGTCGAGGAATTGGAGTTTCAGGTGGTCGTGTAGTTGGTAGTTCAGCAATAGGGGATGGTGGGGTAGACGATGGACCTGGCACTGCATGGATTGGTATGTCACTGACAACTGGTAATTCTGTTATTGGAATAACTGTAGTAGGTCTATCGGTGGAAATTGCTTTGCATCCTACTTGAGGATCACCAGATGTTCCATATGGACAAAGACAAATAGGTCGATGATCAATAGTTCTGCAATGAGCATCTTCTCCACATATCCCTAAGGTACATGCATCATAGCACAGTTTATTCAAGCAGGAGTTGTCCATGTCACAGTCATCATTATTTTCACATGCAATGGGTATTGCTGGAACAATGGGAGCTGGTGGAGGTCGTGGAGGTAGAGGTTCAGGTGGAGGACGAGTTGATTCTTCTGCCAGAGGTGGTGGTCCTGTGGTTGTAGGACCTGCAATGGGACTGATTGGAGAGTCTGGTTGTAAAGGTTTTTCTCCTACTTGTGGTGGATATGGTTTTGGTGGCATCTCAAAGGCCACAGCAGAACACTTGATAGTTGGGTTTCCTGTGGTTCCTGGTGGACACTTGCATACTGGACGATTTCCTTGAGTCTGGCAATCTGCACTTTCTCCACATAGGCCTGGATAACAAACATCAAAGCAGAGTCTGTTAACACATGAATTATCAGATGGACAGTCATCAGAAGTTTCACAACCTACAGGTATGGGACCAGGTGTGGGTGGTGGAGGAGGTGCAGTCACTGGAGGCAGTGTTGGTCTTGGCGTAGGAAGTTCAGCCAAAGGAGGAAGTCCAGGACTTGTTGGTTCAGCTATGGGTCTAATTGGATCACCTGGCTGTGTTGAACTTATTTCTGGAATGGGTGAAGGTGGTACCAATGGCCTTTCTGTAAGTACTGCTTGACAACCAGTTGTAGGGTCTCCTGATGTCCCTGGAGGACAACTACAGACTGGACGGTGATTATGAATCTTACAGTCTGCATCATCTCCACACACTCCAAGACTACATACATCATAGCAAAGTTTGTTGATGCACGAGTTGTCTGTTGTGCAATCATCATTGTTTGTGCAAGCAATAGCTATTGGAGGAACAATTGGTTGTGGCTTTGGGCGTTCAGTTACTGGCTCTGGAGTTATTGTTGTTGGCATCTCTGCTAGTGGTGGGAGGGGTGTGGTGGTTGTGCCAGCTCCTGGAATCAGTGGGGCCATAGGTACTTCAGGTATATCTGCTATAGGTGAAATGGTAATTTCTGGTTTCTGTGTTGCCATAGCACTGCATTGGTGGGGGGTCGTGTAGTAGAATCTGAAATTGGACGAATTGATTCTTCAGGACGGGGTGGCACCTCCGCAACAGGGGGAACAATTGTTGAACTTTCAGTCACTAAAGCTTTGCAATAAACTTGAGGGTCTCCAGTAGTACCAGGAGGACAAAGACATACAGGTCTGTGATTAACAGTTCTGCAATCAGCATCATCACCACACACCCCAAGACTGCATGCATCATAGCAAAGTAGATTAATGCAAGAGTTACCAAAACTACAGTCATCATTATTTTCACATGCAATAGAAATAGGAGGAATAACAGGAGGTAAGGGAGGTCGGGGTGAAAGAGGGTCTGGGTAGGGAGTTGTAGGCTCTTCCACCAAAGGTGGTAGTCCAGCAGTTGTCTGTCCAGCAAGTGGGGTAATTGGAGAGTCAGGTTGCTGGGGCGTCTCTCCAGCCAGAGGAGGAGCAGGAGTTTGGGGAGAATCAGCAGCTAGAGCTGTACACTTTATGGTTGGGTTCCCTGTTGTACCTGGTGGACAAGTACAAAGGGGACGATGTCCTTGAGTCTGACAGTCAGCATTTTGTCCACAAAATCCAGGATAACAAACATCAAGGCAAAGTCGGTTTATACAAGAATTATCATATGGACACTCGTCTGTAGTCTCACAGCCAACTGGTATGGGTCCAGGTGTGGGGCGGGTGGTGGTGGCTGGGTCACAGGAGGTTGTTTAGGTTTTGGTGTGGGAAGCTCAGCCAAAGGTGGAAGTCCAGGGCTTGGTCGGTTCTGTTACAGGTGTTATTGGGTCCCCAGGTTGTGATGGATGTATTTCAGATATAGGAGAAGACGTTGGAGTATTTCTGTAAGTACTGCCTTGCATCCCTGAGTAGGATCTCCTTCAGTCCAGGAGGGACAGCTACAGATGGGCCGTGATTATGAATTTTGCAGTCAGCATCCCCTCCACATACACCAAGACTACACACATCATAGCAGAAGTGATTAATGCAAGAGTTATCGGTAGAGCAGTCATCATTATTTTCACATGCAATGGGTATTGCTGGAACTATTGGTGGTGGTAAAGGCCGTGGTGGTAGAGGTTCAGGTGTAGGACGAGGTGATTCTTCTACTAAAGGTGGGGCTCCTGTGGTTGTAGGACCTGCAATGGGACTGATTGGAGAGTCTGGTTGTAAAGGCTTTTCTCCTACTTGTGGTGGATATGGTGTTACTGGTACATCAAAGGCCAATGCCGAACATTTGATGGTTGGGTTTCCAGTGGTTCCTGGTGGACATGTACACAAAGGTCGATTTCCTTGAGTCTGACAGTCAGCATTTTGTCCACAAAATCCAGGATAACAAACATCAAGGCAAAGTCGGTTTATACAAGAATTATCATATGGACACTCGTCTGTAGTCTCACAGCCAACTGGTATGGGTCCAGGTGTGGGCGGTGGTGGTGGCTGGGTCACAGGAGGTTGTTTAGGTTTTGGTGTGGGAAGCTCAGCCAAAGGTGGAAGTCCAGGGCTTGTCGGTTCTGTTACAGGTGTTATTGGGTCCCCAGGTTGTGATGGATGTATTTCAGATATAGGAGAAGACGTTGGAGGTATTTCTGTAAGTACTGCCTTGCATCCCTGAGTAGGATCTCCTTCAGTCCCAGGAGGACAGCTACAGATGGGCCGGTGATTATGAATTTTGCAGTCAGCATCCCCTCCACATACACCAAGACTACACACATCATAGCAGAAGTGATTAATGCAAGAGTTATCGGTAGAGCAGTCATCATTATTTTCACATGCAATGGGTATTGCTGGAACTATTGGTGGTGGTAAAGGCCGTGGTGGTAGAGGTTCAGGTGTAGGACGAGGTGATTCTTCTACTAAAGGTGGGGCTCCTGTGGTTGTAGGACCTGCAATGGGACTGATTGGAGAGTCTGGTTGTAAAGGCTTTTCTCCTACTTGTGGTGGATATGGTGTTACTGGTACATCAAAGGCCAATGCCGAACATTTGATGGTTGGGTTTCCAGTGGTTCCTGGTGGACATGTACACAAAGGTCGATTTCCTTGAGTCTGGCAATCTGCACTTTCTCCACATAGGCCTGGATAACAAACATCAAGGCAAAGTTTGTTAACACATGAATTATCAGATGGACAGTCATCAGAAGTTTCACAACCTACAGGTATGGGACCAGGTGTGGGTGGTGGAGGAGGTGCAGTCACTGGAGGCAGTGTTGGTCTTGGCGTAGGAAGTTCAGTCAAAGGAGGAAGTCCAGGACTTGTTGGTTCAGCTATGGGTCTAATTGGATCACCTGGCTGTGTTGAACTTATTTCTGGAATGGGTGAAGGTGGTACCAATGGCCTTTCTGTAAGCATTGCCTGACATCCATAGGAAGGATCTCCTGTGGTTCCTGGAGGACAATTGCAAACTGGACGATGATTATGAATCTTACAGTCTGCATCATCTCCACACACTCCAAGACTGCATACATCATAACAAAGATTATTAATGCATGAGTTATCAGTTGTACAATCATCATTATTTGCACAAGCAATTATGAAGGGTGGAACAACTGGGGCTGATGGAGGTCTGGGAGTTGTTGGCAATGGTCTTGGTGTTGGTGTTTCAGTTAGAGGTGGTGGTACTGGTGTTGACGGTCCAATTCCTGGTACAATCTGATCATCTGGAGTTATTCCTGGGGCGCCTGTTATAGGAGACAGAGTTGTAGGTCTGTCGGTAGAAAGTGCCTTGCAGCTCTCTGTAGGGTTGCCTGTAGTGCCAGGAGGACACAAACATAAAGGTCTATGGCCAATGGTCTGGCAATCAGCACTGTCACCACAAAGACCAGGATGACATACATCCAGACAAAGACGGTTAATGCAGCTGTTATCATATGGACAATCATCAGTGCTTTCACAGCCAACTGGATTTGCCGGCGGAGTTGGTATTGCCGGAGGCCGAGGCATTGGAGGTTCAGGTGGCCGTGTAGTTGGTAGTTCGGCAATAGGGGATTGTGGAGTTGAAGATGGGCCTGGGATGGCATGAATGGGTAAATCACTGACTTGCGACTCTTCAACTATTGGTGAAATTGTTACAGGCATTTCTGCTGTTATTGCTTTGCATCCAACTTGAGGATCCCCAGTTGTTCCATATGGACAAAGACATACAGGTCGGTGGTCTACAGTTTCGCACTCTGCATCATCTCCACATATACCAAGAGTGCAGGCATCATAACAGAGCTTATTCAGACAGGAGTTATCTATATTGCAGTCATCATTATTTTCACAAGCAATGGGTAATGCGGGCACAATAGCTGGTGGTGGAGGTCGTGGTGGAAGTGGTTCCGGTGTTGGATGCACAGTTTCTTCTATCAAAGGTGGCTGCAAAGTGGTTGTGGAACCTGCAACTGGTCTAATTGGTAAATCTGGATGTGGTTTCTGTTCTGCGATCGGAGGCTGGAGTGTTGGTGGCTCTTTTACAACCATTGCAGAGCACTTGATGGTTGGATTTCCTGTAGTACCAGGTGGACAGCTACAGATAGGTCGATGTGCTTGTGTCTGACAGTCTGCATTTTCTCCACAGAATCCTGGATAACACATGTTCAGGCAAAGTTTATTTACACAGGAATTGTCAGAAGGACACTCTTCTGTAGACTCACATCCTACAGGTATAGGACCTGGTGTGGGTGGTGGTGGAGGTGGAGTTACTGGAGGTAGTGTTGGCCTTGGCTTGGGATGTTCTACCAGTGGAGGGAGTCCAGGACTTGCTGGTTCAGTAACAGGTGTTATGGAAACCTCATCCTTTGGTGGTCGAATTTCTGATATAGGAGAGAGAGTAGATAGAGGCCTTTCAGTAAGCAAAGCATTACAACCTCGGGTGGGATCTCCTGTTGATCCTGGAGGACAACTACATACTGGACGATGATTATCAATCCTACATTCAGCATCTTCTCCACAAATGCCTAAACTGCACACATCATAACAGAGATTATTAATACATGAATTGTCTGTTGTACAGTCATCATTATTTTCACAAGCAATGGGTAATGCGGGCACAATAGCTGGTGGTGGAGGTCGTGGTGGAAGTGGTTCCGGTGTTGGATGCACAGTTTCTTCTATCAAAGGTGGCTGCAAAGTGGTTGTGGAACCTGCAACTGGTCTAATTGGTAAATCTGGATGTGGTTTCTGTTCTGCGATCGGAGGCTGGAGTGTTGGTGGCTCTTTTACAACCATTGCAGAGCACTTGATGGTTGGATTTCCTGTAGTACCAGGTGGACAGCTACAGATAGGTCGATGTGCTTGTGTCTGACAGTCTGCATTTTCTCCACAGAATCCTGGATAACACATGTTCAGGCAAAGTTTATTTACACAGGAATTGTCAGAAGGACACTCTTCTGTAGACTCACATCCTACAGGTATAGGACCTGGTGTGGGTGGTGGTGGAGGTGGAGTTACTGGAGGTAGTGTTGGCCTTGGCTTGGGATGTTCTACCAGTGGAGGGAGTCCAGGACTTGCTGGTTCAGTAACAGGTGTTATGGAAACCTCATCCTTTGGTGGTCGAATTTCTGATATAGGAGAGAGAGTAGATAGAGGCCTTTCAGTAAGCAAAGCATTACAACCTCGGGTGGGATCTCCTGTTGATCCTGGAGGACAACTACATACTGGACGATGATTATCAATCCTACATTCAGCATCTTCTCCACAAATGCCTAAACTGCACACATCATAACAGAGATTATTAATACATGAATTGTCTGTTGTACAGTCATCATTATTTTCACAGGCTATAACAATTGGTGGTACAATGGGTGATGGAGTTGTTGAAGGTAATGGTGGTTCAGTGGGCCTGATTGATGTTTCTGCTAGAGGTGGAAGAGGAGTACTGGATGGTCCTATTCCAGGAATAATGTTAGCATCAGCTGGAGGGACTGGTCTCTCAGTGAGGGGGATAACTGTTGTTGGCCTCTCTGTTACTAATGCCACACAATGTTCTGTTGGATTACCAGTAGTGCCAGGTGGACATATACAAGAAGGTTTATGTCCCACTGTTTGACAATCAGCATTTTCTCCACATAATCCTGGGTGACAAACGTCCATACAGAAACGGTTGACACATGAATTATCAAATGGACAATCATCAGTGCTCTCACAACCAATGGGAATCATGGGAGGCGTTGGCACAGGTCTGTGCGTTGTCAAAGGTGGTGCTGGTGGCCTTGTGGTTGGCTGTTCTGTCACTGGTATGGGAAGTTCAGATGATGGACCAGCAAGAGGTTGAATAGGAACATCATTAGGTTGAGGTGGTCTATCAGTCACTGGAGGAACAGTTGTTACTCTTTCAGTCACTGTAGCTTTGCAACCAACCTGAGGATTTCCACTGGTTCCTGGTGGACAGATACAAACTGGACGATGGTCAATAGTTTTACAGTCAGCATCTTCTCCACAGAAGTTAAGGCTACATGCATCATAACAAAGCATGTTGATACACGAGTCACCTATGTCACAGTCATCATTATTTTCACAAGCAATGGAAATAGGAGGGATAACAGGTTGTGGAGTAGGTCTGACTGGTAATGGTTCTGGTGCAGGATGTGTTGTTTCTTCTGCCAGAGGTGGTTGTCCAGTGGTTGATGAACCTGAGATAGGACTGATAGGAGAATCTGGCTGAATTGGTTGCTCACCAGCAATTGGAGGATATGGGGTTGAAGGTATATCAACAACCATTGCTGAACACTTGATGGTAGGATTACCAGTTGTTCCTGGTGGACAAGTACATAAGGGACGATGTCCATGTGTTTGACATTCTGCATTACTCCCACATATTCCAGGATAACAGACATCAAGACACAGTCTGTTTATACAAGAATTATCAGATGGACATTCATCTGTTGTTTCACATCCAACAGGTATGGGACCTGGTGTGGGTGGTGGAGGTGGTGTTGTTATTGGAGGTAGTGTAGGCCTTAGTGTTGTCTGTTCTGCCACAGGAGGAAGACCAGGGCTTGCTGATTCTGCAATGGGTCTTATTGTAGCTTCGTCTCCAGGTGGTCGAATCTCTGGTATTGGAGATGGAGGAGATGGAGGCCTTTCAGTGAGCTCTGCATAGCATCCACGTGTAGGATCTCCTGTGGTTCCTGGAGGACAACTACACACTGGACGATGATCACGTATTCTGCAGTCAGCATCATCTCCACAAATACCTAAACTGCACACATCATAGCATAAATTATTGATGCAGGAGTTGTCTGTAGTACAGTCATCATTATTTTCGCAGGCTATAACAATTGGTGGTACAATTGGAGATGGAGTTGTTGAAGGTAATGGTGGTTCAGTGGGCCTGATTGATGTTTCTGCTAGTGGTGGAAGAGGAGTACTGGATGGTCCTATTCCAGGAATAATGTTAGCATCAGCTGGAGGAACTGGTCTCTCAGTAAGAGGGAAAACTGTTGTTGGCCTCTCTGTTACTAATGCCACACAATGTTCAGTTGGATTACCAGTAGTGCCAGGAGGACATATACAAGAAGGTTTATGTCCCACTGTTTGACAATCAGCATTTTCTCCACATAATCCTGGGTGACAAACGTCCATACAGAGACGGTTGACACATGAATTATCAAATGGACAATCGTCAGTGCTCTCACAACCAATGGGAATCATGGGAGGTGTTGGCACAGGTCTGTGCGTTGTCAAAGGAATTTCTGGTGGCCTTGTGGTTGGCTGTTCTGTCACTGGTATGGGAAGTTCAGATGATGGACCAGCAAGAGGTTGAATAGGAACATCATTAGGTTGAGGTGGTCTATCAGTCACTGGAGGAACAGTTGTTACTCTTTCAGTCACTGTAGCTTTGCAACCAACCTGAGGATTTCCACTGGTTCCTGGTGGACAGATACAAACTGGACGATGGTCAATAGTTTTTACAGTCAGCATCTTCTCCACAGAAGTTAAGGCTACATGCATCATAACAAAGCATGTTGATACACGAGTCACCTATGTCACAGTCATCATTATTTTCGCAGGCTATAACAATTGGTGGTACAATTGGAGATGGAGTTGTTGAAGGTAATGGTGGTTCAGTGGGCCTGATTGATGTTTCTGCTAGTGGTGGAAGAGGAGTACTGGATGGTCCTATTCCAGGAATAATGTTAGCATCAGCTGGAGGAACTGGTCTCTCAGTAAGGGGGAAAACTGTTGTTGGCCTCTCTGTTACTAATGCCACACAATGTTCAGTTGGATTACCAGTAGTGCCAGGAGGACATATACAAGAAGGTTTATGTCCCACTGTTTGACAATCAGCATTTTCTCCACATAATCCTGGGTGACAAACGTCCATACAGAGACGGTTGACACATGAATTATCAAATGGACAATCGTCAGTGCTCTCACAACCAATGGGAATCATGGGAGGTGTTGGCACAGGTCTGTGCGTTGTCAAAGGAATTTCTGGTGGCCTTGTGGTTGGCTGTTCTGTCACTGGTATGGGAAGTTCAGATGATGGACCAGCAAGAGGTTGAATAGGAACATCATTAGGTTGAGGTGGTCTATCAGTCACTGGAGGAACAGTTGTTACTCTTTCAGTCACTGTAGCTTTGCAACCAACCTGAGGATTTCCACTGGTTCCTGGTGGACAGATACAAACTGGACGATGGTCAATAGTTTTACAGTCAGCATCTTCTCCACAGAAGTTAAGGCTACATGCATCATAACAAAGCATGTTGATACACGAGTCACCTATGTCACAGTCATCATTATTTTCGCAGGCTATAACAATTGGTGGTACAATTGGAGATGGAGTTGTTGAAGGTAATGGTGGTTCAGTGGGCCTGATTGATGTTTCTGCTAGTGGTGGAAGAGGAGTACTGGATGGTCCTATTCCAGGAATAATGTTAGCATCAGCTGGAGGAACTGGTCTCTCAGTAAGGGGGAAAACTGTTGTTGGCCTCTCTGTTACTAATGCCACACAATGTTCAGTTGGATTACCAGTAGTGCCAGGTGGACATATACAAGAAGGTTTATGTCCCACTGTTTGACAATCAGCATTTTCTCCACATAATCCTGGGTGACAAACGTCCATACAGAGACGGTTGACACATGAATTATCAAATGGACAATCGTCAGTGCTCTCACAACCAATAGGAATCATGGGAGGTGTTGGCACAGGTCTGTGCGTTGTCAAAGGAATTTCTGGTGGCCTTGTGGTTGGCTGTTCTGTCACTGGTATGGGAAGTTCAGATGATGGACCAGCAAGAGGTTGAATAGGAACATCATTAGGTTGAGGTGGTCTATCAGTCACTGGAGGAACAGTTGTTACTCTTTCAGTCACTGTAGCTTTGCAACCAACCTGAGGATTTCCACTGGTTCCTGGTGGACAGATACAAACTGGACGATGGTCAATAGTTTTACAGTCAGCATCTTCTCCACAGAAGTTAAGGCTACATGCATCATAACAAAGCATGTTGATACACGAGTCACCTATGTCACAGTCATCATTATTTTCGCAGGCTATAACAATTGGTGGTACAATTGGAGATGGAGGAGATGGAGGCCTTTCAGTGAGCTCTGCATAGCATCCACGTGTAGGATCTCCTGTGGTTCCTGGAGGACAACTACACACTGGACGATGATCACGTATTCTGCAGTCAGCCATCATCTCCACAAATACCTAAACTGCACACATCATAGCATAAATTATTGATGCAGGAGTTGTCTGTAGTACAGTCATCATTATTTTCGAGCAGGCTATAACCAATTGGTGGTACAATTTGGAGATGGAGTTGTTGAAGGTAATGGTGGTTCAGTGGGCCTGATTGATGTTTCTGCTAGTGGTGGAAGAGGAGTACTGGATGGTCCTATTCCAGGAATAATGTTAGCATCAGCTGGAGGAACTGGTCTCTCAGTAAGGGGGATAACTGTTGTTGGCCTCTCTGTTACTAATGCCACACAATGTTCTGTTGGATTACCAGTAGTGCCAGGTGGACATATACAAGAAGGTTTATGTCCCACTGTTTGACAATCAGCATTTTCTCCACATAATCCTGGGTGACAGACGTCCATACAGAGACGGTTGACACATGAATTATCAAATGGACAATCATCAGTGCTCTCACAACCAATGGGAATCATGGGAGGTGTTGGCACAGGTCTGTGCGTTGTCAAAGGTGGTGCTGGTGGCCTTGTGGTTGGCTGTTCTGTCACTGGTATGGGAAGTTCAGATGATGGACCAGCAAGAGGTTGAATAGGAACATCATTAGGTTGAGGTGGTCTATCAGTCACTGGAGGAACAGTTGTTACTCTTTCAGTCACTGTAGCTTTGCAACCAACCTGAGGATTTCCACTGGTTCCTGGTGGACAGATACAAACTGGACGATGGTCAATAGTTTTACAGTCAGCATCTTCTCCACAGAAGTTAAGGCTACATGCATCATAACAAAGCATGTTGATACACGAGTCACCTATGTCACAGTCATCATTATTCTCACAAGCAATAGAAATAGGAGGGATAATAGGTTGTGGAGTAGGTCTGATTACGAATGGTTTTGATGTAGGACGCGTTGTTTCTTCTGCCAGAGGTGGTTGTCCAGTGGTTGATGAACCTGAGATAGGACTGATAGGAGAATCTGGCTGAATTGGTTGCTCACCAGCAATTGGAGGATATGGGGTTGAAGGTATATCAACAACCATTGCCGAACATTTGATGGTAGGATTGCCAGTTGTTCCTGGTGGACAAGTACATAAGGGACGATGTCCATGCGTTTGACATTCTGCATTACTCCCACATATTCCAGGATAACAGACATCAAGACACAGTCTATTCACACAAGAATTATCAGATGGACAATCATCTGTTGTTTCACATCCAACAGGTATGGGACCTGGTGTGGGTGGTGGAGGTGGTGTTGTTATTGGAGGTAGTGTAGGCCTTAGTGTTGTCTGTTCTGCCACAGGAGGAAGACCAGGGCTTGCTGATTCTGCAATGGGTCTTATTGTAGCTTCATCTCCAGGTGGTCGAATCTCTGGTATTGGAGATGGAGGAGATGGAGGCCTTTCAGTGAGCTCTGCATAGCATCCACGTGTAGGATCTCCTGTGGTTCCTGGAGGACAACTACACACTGGACGATGATCACGTATTCTGCAGTCAGCATCATCTCCACAAATACCTAAACTGCACACATCATAGCATAAATTATTGATGCAGGAGTTGTCTGTAGTACAAGTCATCATTATTTTCACAGGCTATAACAATTGGTGGTACAATTGGAGATGGAGTTGTTGAAGGTAATGGTGGTTCAGTGGGCCTGATTGATGTTTCTGCTAGTGGTGGAAGAGGAGTACTGGATGGTCCTATTCCAGGAATAATGTTAGCATCAGCTGGAGGAACTGGTCTCTCAGTAAGGGGGATAACTGTTGTTGGCCTCTCTGTTACTAATGCCACACAATGTTCTGTTGGATTACCAGTAGTGCCAGGAGGACATATACAAGAAGGGTTTATGTCCCACTGTCTGGCAGTCAGCATTTTCTCCACATAATCCTGGGTGACAAACATCCATACAGAGACGGTTGACACATGAATTATCAAATGGACAATCATCAGTGCTCTCACAACCAATGGGAATCATGGGAGGCGTTGGCACAGGTCTGTGCGTTGTCAAAGGAGTTTCTGGTGGCCTTGTGGTTGGCTGTTCTGTCACTGGTATGGGAAGTTCAGATGATGGACCAGGAAGAGGTTGAATAGGAACATCATTAGGTTGAGGTGGTCTATCAGTCACTGGAGGAACAGTTGTTACTCTTTCAGTCACTGTAGCTTTGCAACCAACCTGAGGATTTCCACTGGTTCCTGGTGGACAGATACAAACTGGACGATGGTCAATAGTTTTACAGTCAGCATCTTCTCCACAGAAGTTAAGGCTACATGCATCATAACAAAGCATGTTGATACATGAGTCACCTATGTCACAAGTCATCATTATTTTCACAGGCTATAACAATTGGTGGTACAATTGGAGATGGAGTTGTTGAAGGTAATGGTGGTTCAGTGGGCCTGATTGATGTTTCTGCTAGTGGTGGAAGAGGAGTACTGGATGGTCCTATTCCAGGAATAATGTTAGCATCAGCTGGAGGAACTGGTCTCTCAGTAAGGGGGATAACTGTTGTTGGCCTCTCTGTTACTAATGCCACACAATGTTCAGTTGGATTACCAGTAGTGCCAGGTGGACATATACAAGAAGGTTTATGTCCCACTGTTTGACAATCAGCATTTTCTCCACATAATCCTGGGTGACAAACGTCCATACAGAGACGGTTGACACATGAATTATCAAATGGACAATCGTCAGTGCTCTCACAACCAATAGGAATCATGGGAGGTGTTGGCACAGGTCTGTGCGTTGTCAAAGGAATTTCTGGTGGCCTTGTGGTTGGCTGTTCTGTCACTGGTATGGGAAGTTCAGATGATGGACCAGCAAGAGGTTGAATAGGAACATCATTAGGTTGAGGTGGTCTATCAGTCACTGGAGGAACAGTTGTTACTCTTTCAGTCACTGTAGCTTTGCAACCAACCTGAGGATTTCCACTGGTTCCTGGTGGACAGATACAAACTGGACGATGGTCAATAGTTTTACAGTCAGCATCTTCTCCACAGAAGTTAGGCTACATGCATCATAACAAAGCATGTTGATACACGAGTCACCTATGTCACAGTCATCATTATTTTCACAGGCTATAACAATTGGTGGTACAATTGGAGATGGAGTTGTTGAAGGTAATGGTGGTTCAGTGGGCCTGATTGATGTTTCTGCTAGTGGTGGAAGAGGAGTACTGGATGGTCCTATTCCAGGAATAATGTTAGCATCAGCTGGAGGAACTGGTCTCTCAGTAAGGGGGATAACTGTTGTTGGCCTCTCTGTTACTAATGCCACACAATGTTCTGTTGGATTACCAGTAGTGCCAGGAGGACACAGACAAGAAGGTTTATGTCCCACTGTTTGACAGTCAGCATTTTCTCCACATAATCCTGGGTGACAAAAGTCCATACAGAGACGGTTGACACATGAATTATCAAATGGACAATCATCAGTGCTCTCACAACCAATGGGAATCATGGGAGGTGTTGGCACAGGTCTGTGCGTTGTCAAAGGTGGTGCTGGTGGCCTTGTGGTTGGCTGTTCTGTCACTGGTATGGGAAGTTCAGATGATGGACCAGGCAAGAGGTTGAATAGGAACATCATTAGGTTGAGGTGGTCTATCAGTCACTGGAGGAACAGTTGTTACTCTTTCAGTCACTGTAGCTTTGCAACCAACCTGAGGATTTCCACTGGTTCATGGTGGACAGATACAAACTGGACGATGGTCAATAGTTTTACAGTCAGCATCTTCTCCACAGAAGTTAAGGCTACATGCCTCATAACAAAGCATGTTGATACAGAGTCACCTATGTCACAGTCATCATTATTTTCACAGGCTATAACAATTGGTGGTACAATTGGAGATGGAGTTGTTGAAGGTAATGGTGGTTCAGTGGGCCTGATTGATGTTTCTGCTAGTGGTGGAAGAGGAGTACTGGATGGTCCTATTCCAGGAATAATGTTAGCATCAGCTGGAGGAACTGGTCTCTCAGTAAGGGGGATAACTGTTGTTGGCCTCTCTGTTACTAATGCCACACAATGTTCTGTTGGATTACCAGTAGTGCCAGGTGGACATATACAAGAAGGTTTATGTCCCACTGTTTGACAATCAGCATTTTCTCCACATAATCCTGGGTGACAAACGTCCATACAGAGACGGTTGACACATGAATTATCAAATGGACAATCATCAGTGCTCTCACAACCAATGGGAATCATGGGAGGTGTTGGCACAGGTCTGTGCGTTGTCAAAGGAATTTCTGGTGGCCTTGTGGTTGGCTGTTCTGTCACTGGTATGGGAAGTTCAGATGATGGACCAGCAAGAGGTTGAATAGGAACATCATTAGGTTGAGGTGGTCTATCAGTCACTGGAGGAACAGTTGTTACTCTTTCAGTCACTGTAGCTTTGCAACCAACCTGAGGATTTCCACTGGTTCCTGGTGGACAGATACAAACTGGACGATGGTCAATAGTTTTACAGTCAGCATCTTCTCCACAGAAGTTAAGGCTACATGCATCATAACAAAGCATGTTGATACACGAGTCACCTATGTCACAGTCATCATTATTCTCACAAGCAATAGAAATAGGAGGGATAATAGGTTGTGGAGTAGGTCTGATTACGAATGGTTTTGATGTAGGACGCGTTGTTTCTTCTGCCAGAGGTGGTTGTCCAGTGGTTGATGAACCTGAGATAGGACTGATAGGAGAATCTGGCTGAATTGGTTGCTCACCAGCAATTGGAGGATATGGGGTTGAAGGTATATCAACAACCATTGCCGAACATTTGATGGTAGGATTGCCAGTTGTTCCTGGTGGACAAGTACATAAGGGACGATGTCCATGCGTTTGACATTCTGCATTACTCCCACATATTCCAGGATAACAGACATCAAGACACAGTCTATTCACACAAGAATTATCAGATGGACAATCATCTGTTGTTTCACATCCAACAGGTATGGGACCTGGTGTGGGTGGTGGAGGTGGTGTTGTTATTGGAGGTAGTGTAGGCCTTAGTGTTGTCTGTTCTGCCACAGGAGGAAGACCAGGGCTTGCTGATTCTGCAATGGGTCTTATTGTAGCTTCATCTCCAGGTGGTCGAATCTCTGGTATTGGAGATGGAGGAGATGGAGGCCTTTCAGTGAGCTCTGCATAGCATCCACGTGTAGGATCTCCTGTGGTTCCTGGAGGACAACTACACACTGGACGATGATCACGTATTCTGCAGTCAGCATCATCTCCACAAATACCTAAACTGCACACATCATAGCATAAATTATTGATGCAGGAGTTGTCTGTAGTACAGTCATCATTATTTTCACAGGCTATAACAATTGGTGGTACAATTGGAGATGGAGTTGTTGAAGGTAATGGTGGTTCAGTGGGCCTGATTGATGTTTCTGCTAGTGGTGGAAGAGGAGTACTGGATGGTCCTATTCCAGGAATAATGTTAGCATCAGCTGGAGGAACTGGTCTCTCAGTAAGGGGGATAACTGTTGTTGGCCTCTCTGTTACTAATGCCACACAATGTTCTGTTGGATTACCAGTAGTGCCAGGAGGACACAGACAAGAAGGTTTATGTCCCACTGTTTGACAATCAGCATTTTCTCCACATAATCCTGGGTGACAAACGTCCATACAGAGACGGTTGACACATGAATTATCAAATGGACAATCATCAGTGCTCTCACAACCAATGGGAATCATGGGAGGCGTTGGCACAGGTCTGTGCGTTGTCAAAGGAGTTTCTGGTGGCCTTGTGGTTGGCTGTTCTGTCACTGGTATGGGAAGTTCAGATGATGGACCAGAAGAGGTTGAATAGGAACATCATTAGGTTGAGGTGGTCTATCAGTCACTGGAGGAACAGTTGTTACTCTTTCAGTCACTGTAGCTTTGCAACCAACCTGAGGATTTCCACTGAGGAAGACCAGGGCTTGCTGATTCTGCAATGGGTCTTATTGTAGCTTCATCTCCAGGTGGTCGAATCTCTGGTATTGGAGATGGAGGAGATGGAGGCCTTTCAGTGAGCTCTGCATAGCATCCACGTGTAGGATCTCCTGTGGTTCCTGGAGGACAACTACACACTGGACGATGATCACGTATTCTGCAGTCAGCATCATCTCCACAAATACCTAAACTGCACACATCATAGCATAAATTATTGATGCAGGAGTTGTCTGTAGTACAGTCATCAATTATTTTCAGCAGGCTATAACAATTCGGTGTGTACAATTGGACGATGGAAGGTTGTTGAAGGTAATGGTGTTCGATAGTGGGCCTGATGATGTTTCTGCTAGTGGTGGAAGAGGAGGTGACTGGATGGGTCCTATTCCAGGACTAATGTTTAGCATCACGTGAGGGGAACTGGTCTCTCAGTAAGGGGGATAAACTGTTTGTTGGCCTCTCTGTTACTAATGCCACACAATGTTCATGTTGGATTACCAGTAGTGCCAGGTTGTACATATAACAAGAAGGTTTATGTCCCACTGTTTTGACAATCAGCATTTTCTCCCCACATATCCTGTGGTGGACAAAACGTCCATACAGAGACGGTTGACACATGAAATACATTATCAAATGGACAATCAGTCAGTGCTCTCAGCTCCAACCAATAGGGAATCATGGGAGGTGTTGGCAACAGGTCTGTGCGTTGTCAAAGGAATGTTCTGGTGGCCTTGTGGTGTGGCCTGTTCTGTCACTGGTATGGGACGTTCAGATGATGGACCCGCAAGAGGTTTGAATAGGAACATCCTTAGGTTTTAGGTGGTCTATGCAGTCATCTGGAGGAACAGTTGTTTAGCTCTTTTCAGTCACTGTAGCTTTGGCAACCATTTCCTGGTGGACAGATACAAACTGGACGATGGTCAATAGTTTTACAGTCAGCATCTTCTCCACAGAAGTTAAGGCTACATGCATCATAACAAAGCATGTTGATACATGAGTCACCTATGTCACAATCATCATTATTTCTCACAAGCAATAGAAATAGGAGGGATAATAGGTTGTGGAGTAGGTCTGGCTACGAATGGCTTTGGTGTAGGACCGTATTGTTTCTTCTGCCAGAGGTGGCTGTCCAGTGGTTGATGAACCTGAGATAGGACTAATAGGAGAATCTGGCTGAATTGGTTGCTCACCAGCAATAGGAGGATGTGGGGTTGAAGGTATATCAACAACCATTGCCGAACATTTGATGGTAGGATTGCCAGTTGTTCCTGGTGGACAAGTACATAAGGGACGATGTCCATGTCGTTTGACATTCTGCATTATTCCCACATATTCCAGGATAACAGACATCAAGACACAGTCTATTCACACAAGAATTATCAGATGGACAATCATCTGTTGTTTCACATCCAACAGGTATGGGACCTGGTGTGGGTGGTGGAGGTGGTGTTGTTATTGGAGGTAGTGTAGGCCTTAGTGTTGTCTGTTCTGCCACAGGAGGAAGACCAGGGCTTGATGGTTCTGCAATGGGTCTTATTGTAGCTTCATCTCCAGGTGGTCGAATCTCTGGTATTGGAGATGGAGGAGATGGAGGCCTTTCAGTGAGCTCTGCATAGCATCCACGTGTAGGATCTCCTGTGGTTCCTGGAGGACAACTACACACTGGACGATGATCACGTATTCTGCAGTCAGCATCATCTCCACAAATACCTAAACTGCACACATCATAGCATAAATTATTGATGCAGGAGTTGTCTGTAGTACAGTCATCATTATTTTCACAGGCTATAACAATTGGTGGTACAATTGGAGATGGAGTTGTTGAAGGTAATGGTGGTTCAGTGGGCCTGATTGATGTTTCTGCTAGTGGTGGAAGAGGAGTACTGGATGGTCCTATTCCAGGAATAATGTTAGCATCAGCTGGAGGAACTGGTCTCTCAGTAAGGGGGATAACTGTTGTTGGCCTCTCTGTTACTAATGCCACACAATGTTCTGTTGGATTACCAGTAGTGCCAGGAGGACACAGACAAGAGGGTTTATGTCCCACTGTCTGGCAGTCAGCATTTTCTCCACATAATCCTGGGTGACAAACATCCATACAGAGACGGTTGACACATGAATTATCAAATGGACAATCATCAGTGCTCTCACAACCAATGGGAATCATGGGAGGCTGTTGGCACAGGTCTGTGCGTTGTCAAAGGAGTTTCTGGTGGCCTTGTGGTTGGCTGTTCTGTCACTGGTATGGGAAGTTCAGATGATGGACCAGCAAGAGGTTGAATAGGAACATCATTAGGTTGAGGTGGTCTATCAGTCACTGGAGGAACAGTTGTTACTCTTTCAGTCACTGTAGCTTTGCAACCAACCTGAGGATTTCCACTGGTTCCTGGTGGACAGATACAAACTGGACGATGGTCAATAGTTTTACAGTCAGCATCTTCTCCACAGAAGTTAAGGCTACATGCATCATAACAAAGCATGTTGATACATGAGTCACCTATGTCACAATCATCATTATTTTCACAAGCAATGGAAATGGGAGGGATAATAGGTTGTGGAGTAGGTCTGGCTACAAATGGCTTTGGTGTAGAACGTATTGTTTCTTCTGCCAGAGGTGGCTGTCCAGTGGTTGATGAACCTGAGATAGGTCTAATAGGAGAATCTGGCTGAATTGGTTGCTCACCAGCAATAGGAGGATGTGGGGTTGAAGGTATATCAACAACCATTGCCGAACATTTGATGGTAGGATTGCCAGTTGTTCCTGGTGGACAAGTACATAAGGGACGATGACCATGTGTTTGACATTCTGCATTATTCCCACATATTCCAGGATAACAGACATCAAGACACAGTCTATTCACACAAGAATTATCAGATGGACAATCATCTGTTGTTTCACATCCAACAGGTATGGGACCTGGTGTGGGTGGTGGAGGTGGTGTTGTTATTGGAGGTAGTGTAGGCCTTAGTGTTGTCTGTTCTGCCACAGGAGGAAGACCAGGGCTTGCTGATTCTGCAATGGGTCTTATTGTAGCTTCATCTCCAGGTGGTCGAATCTCTGGTATTGGAGATGGAGGAGATGGAGGCCTTTCAGTGAGCTCTGCATAGCATCCACGTGTAGGATCTCCTGTGGTTCCTGGAGGACAACTACACACTGGACGATGGTCAATAGTTTTACAGTCAGCATCTTCTCCACAGAAGTTAAGGCTACATGCGTCATAACAAAGCATGTTGATACACGAGTCACCTATGTCACAATCATCATTGTTTTCACATGCAATAGAAATAGTAGGGATAATAGGTTGTGGAGTAGGTCTGGCTACGAATGGTTTTGGTGTAGAACGTATTGTTTCTTCTGCTAGAGGTGGCTGTCCAGTGGTTGATGAACCTGAGATAGGTCTAATAGGAGAATCTGGCTGAATTGGTTGCTCACCAGCAATAGGAGGATATGGGGTTGAAGGTATATCAACAACCATTGCCGAACATTTGATGGTAGGATTGCCAGTTGTTCCTGGTGGACAAGTACATAAGGGACGATGACCATGTGTTTGACATTCTGCATTATTCCCACATATTCCAGGATAACAGACATCAAGACACAGTCTATTCACACAAGAATTATCAGATGGACAATCATCTGTTGTTTCACATCCAACAGGTATGGGACCTGGTGTGGGTGGTGGAGGTGGTGTTGTTATTGGAGGTAGTGTAGGCCTTAGTGTTGTCTGTTCTGCCACAGGAGGAAGACCAGGGCTTGCTGATTCTGCAATGGGTCTTATTGTAGCTTCATCTCCAGGTGGTCGAATCTCTGGTATTGGAGATGGAGGAGATGGAGGCCTTTCAGTGAGCTCTGCATAGCATCCACGTGTAGGATCTCCTGTGGTTCCTGGAGGACAACTACACACTGGACGATGATCACGTATTCTGCAGTCAGCATCATCTCCACAAATACCTAAACTGCACACATCATAGCATAAATTATTGATGCAGGAGTTGTCTGTAGTACAGTCATCATTATTTTCGCAGGCTATAACAATTGGTGGTACAATTGGAGATGGAGTTGTTGAAGGTAATGGTGGTTCAGTGGGCCTGATTGATGTTTCTGCTAGTGGTGGAAGAGGAGTACTGGATGGTCCTATTCCAGGAATAATGTTAGCATCAGCTGGAGGAACTGGTCTCTCAGTAAGGGGGATAACTGTTGTTGGCCTCTCTGTTACTAATGCCACACAATGTTCTGTTGGATTACCAGTAGTGCCAGGAGGACACAGACAAGAAGGTTTATGTCCCACTGTCTTGACAATCAGCATTTTCTCCACATAATCCTGGGTGACAAATGTCCATACAGAGACGGTTGACACATGAATTATCAAATGGACAATCATCAGTGCTCTCACAACCAATGGGAATCATGGGAGGTGTTGGCACAGGTCTGTGTGTTGCCAAAGGAATTTCTGGTGGCCTTGTGGTTGGCTGTTCTGTCACTGGTATGGGAAGTTCAGATGATGGACCAGCAAGAGGTTGAATAGGAACATCATTAGGTTGAGGTGGCCTATCAGTCACTGGAGGAACAGTTGTTACTCTTTCAGTCACTGTAGCTTTGCAACCAACCTGAGGATTTCCACTGGTTCCTGGTGGGCAGATACAAACTGGACGATGGTCAATAGTTTTACAGTCAGCATCTTCTCCACAGAAGTTAAGGCTACATGCGTCATAACAAAGCATGTTGATACACGAGTCACCTATGTCACAATCATCATTGTTTTCACATGCAATAGAAATAGTAGGGATAATAGGTTGTGGAGTAGGTCTGGCTACGAATGGTTTTGGTGTAGAACGTATTGTTTCTTCTGCTAGAGGTGGCTGTCCAGTGGTTGATGAACCTGAGATAGGTCTAATAGGAGAATCTGGCTGAATTGGTTGCTCACCAGCAATAGGAGGATATGGGGTTGAAGGTATATCAACAACCATTGCCGAACATTTGATGGTAGGATTGCCAGTTGTTCCTGGTGGACAAGTACATAAGGGACGATGACCATGTGTTTGACATTCTGCATTATTCCCACATATTCCAGGATAACAGACATCAAGACACAGTCTATTCACACAAGAATTATCAGATGGACAATCATCTGTTGTTTCACATCCAACAGGTATGGGACCTGGTGTGGGTGGTGGAGGTGGTGTTGTTATTGGAGGTAGTGTAGGCCTTAGTGTTGTCTGTTCTGCCACAGGAGGAAGACCAGGGCTTGCTGATTCTGCAATGGGTCTTATTGTAGCTTCATCTCCAGGTGGTCGAATCTCTGGTATTGGAGATGGAGGAGATGGAGGCCTTTCAGTGAGCTCTGCATAGCATCCACGTGTAGGATCTCCTGTGGTTCCTGGAGGACAACTACACACTGGACGATGATCACGTATTCTGCAGTCAGCATCATCTCCACAAATACCTAAACTGCACACATCATAGCATAAATTATTGATGCAGGAGTTGTCTGTAGTACAGTCATCATTATTTTCACAGGCTATAACAATTGGTGGTACAATTGGAGATGGAGTTGTTGAAGGTAATGGTGGTTCAGTGGGCCTGATTGATGTTTCTGCTAGTGGTGGAAGAGGAGTACTGGATGGTCCTATTCCAGGAATAATGTTAGCATCAGCTGGAGGAACTGGTCTCTCAGTAAGGGGGATAACTGTTGTTGGCCTCTCTGTTACTAATGCCACACAATGTTCTGTTGGATTACCAGTAGTGCCAGGAGGACACAGACAAGAAGGTTTATGTCCCACTGTTTGACAATCAGCATTTTCTCCACATAATCCTGGGTGACAAATGTCCATACAGAGACGGTTGACACATGAATTATCAAATGGACAATCATCAGTGCTCTCACAACCAATGGGAATCATGGGAGGTGTTGGCACAGGTCTGTGCGTTGTCAAAGGTGGTGCTGGTGGCCTTGTGGTTGGCTGTTCTGTCACTGGTATGGGAAGTTCAGATGATGGACCAGCAAGAGGTTGAATAGGAACATCATTAGGTTGAGGTGGTCTATCAGTCACTGGAGAGAGAGTTGTTACTCGTTCAGTTGTTGTAGCTTTGCATCCAAACTGTGGATCGCCAGTAGTTCCTGGTGGACAGATACAAACTGGACGGTGATTAATTGTTTTACAGTCAGCTTCTTCACCACATGAATTGAGACTGCATGCATCATAACACAGCATATTGATGCATGAATTGCTCATTTCACAATCATCATTATTTTCACAGGCAATTATTATAGATGGTATGACTGGTGGTGGTATGGGTTGTGCCACTGTTATATCTGGGAGTGGACGGGTTACATGTTCTGTTAGTGGTGGCAAACCTGTGGTTGAGGGACCAGCAATTGGGATTACTTGTTCATAAGGTGGAGCAGGCTTAGGTTCAGCCATAGGGAGAGGTAAAACATCAACTGCTATTGCAGAGCACTTAATTGTTGGATTGCCCGATGTTCCTGGAGGGCATTTACATTTTGGTCGGTGTTGAACTGTCTGACATTCTGCATTTTCACCACAAAATCCTGGGAAACAGACATCGAGGCAAAGCTTATTGATGCAAGAATTATCTGATGGACATGCATCTGTGCTTTCACAACCAACAACTATTGGACTTGGGGTAGGTGGCTTTGGAGGAGGTAGCGTAGTTGGTGTGGGTCTTTTAGTAGTAATGTCAACAAGTGGTATTCTAGAAGTGGTATGAATGGGACTTGGAATTATTGGATTATCTACAATGGGAGCATTTGTTTCTGCTATTGGACTGAAAGTTGATGGTTGTTCTGTTAGTAGTGCAATACACCTGTCAGTGGGATTTCCTGTTGTTCCAGGTGGACATGTACATACTGGACGATGTACAGTGATTGTACAGGTTGAATCTTCACCACATATTCCTAGAGCACAAACATCATAACACAACTTATTGTAACAGGTGTTATCAATTGTGCAGTCATCATTATTCTCACAAGCAATTGCAATAGGTGGTATTATAGGAGGAAGGAGTTTCTCCGGTTCATCAAATGGAGTTAATGGTCTTCGAGTTCCAACTTCAGCTATCGGTGGATGCGGTGTGTGTGAGGGGCCTGGAATGGGCTGGATTGATTCCTGTGGTGGTGTTGGAAATGTCTCAGCAACAGGTGGATGAAGAGTACTGGGCCGCTCAGTCATTGTAGCCGTACACTTGATGGTAGGATTACCTGTTGTTCCAGGAGGGCAGAAGCACGATGGTCTGTTGGACAGGGTATAGCATTCTGCATCCTCGCCACATAAGGATGGACTGCAAACATCACCACACAGCTTATTGATACAAGTGTTATCATATGGACATTCATCATTACTTTCACAGCCAATGGTTATCGGTGGTGGTAATGAATGAATGGTGGTAGACTGTAAGAAAGTATCAGGGATTCTCGTGGTAGATGCTGCAGCAAGAGGGGGTAGTGTAGGTGATGTAGGGCCAAAGACAGGATTCAAAGGAATTTCTTGCAGAGGACTATGTGTACCTGCAAGAGGAGCTAGTGTGGTTGGAGGAGCTTCTGTGGCTATTGCCTTACATCCGATAAAAGGATCACCAGATGTTCCAGGTGGACAAGAACACATAGGGATGTCAAACTTGATGGAGCAGTCTGCATTCTTGCCACAGTAACCTTGATGGCACACATCGACACACAGTTTGTTTATACAAGAGTTACTGTATGGGCAGTCATCATTGCTTTGGCATCCTACACTAATGGGCGGAAGGGGTGGCAGGAATGGTGGCCTTGGGATGGGAGTTTTTGGTGTAGAACGCTCTGTAGTAGGATACTCAGCTATGGGACTATGAGTGTTAGTTGTCACCGCAATAGGTGGTCTTGTAACACTTGTAGGGAGTGTTTGTATTTCCACTATTGGTGGAAGCCTGTCACAGAAATACCCATTCCCCGTAAAACCTAAAATACATGTACAAACTGGGAAGTGTTCCCGTGTTGTACATTCTGCATATAGCGAACATGGATTTGATAAGATACACGGATTTATACATTCTCTTTGAGCACAAGCCTTATTATCTGGGCATTCTCGGTCAGAAAGACATTCTGGTGATGGTGTTGGTGGCAAAGGTCTCTTGCATTCAATGAATGGGTTACCAATAAATCCAGGAAGACACTGGCACACAGGCCGATGATTGATTCCACGACATGCAGTGTTGTCACCTGTGCACGGATTAGACACTATACAGACAGGTTCACATTCTCTATTATGGCACATTTCATCATCATCGCACTCAAAATCTCTGGTGCACTCATATTCCACTTCATGGCTTGGAGGATGGGTAGCAACTTCCGGGCGGACGGTTGTGTGAGAGGGGAAGTGAGCAATGGGTCCAGGTGTTGTTGATGTTGTAGTAGAGAGTTCACAATAATAACCATTACCAACATAACCTAAGATACATGTACAGTCTGGCATATGCCCAACAACAGTACACTCGGCCAAGTGTGAACATGGGTTAGCTAATCGAC